CCTCGATGAAAGAGAATGTGAAAGAATGGCCCTTGAGCCAATGTACGATTCTGCGGGGTTGAATGTTATGCGACAGCAAACACCCCCTGCCAGTTAATCAACCAAGGGTGCAAGGCCAACATAACACAGAATAATTGCGCCAAGCCGCCAGGTGCTGCACAGGACTCGCTTCACAGATCTGCGCCAACCAGACAGCCCATCCTTGCGCTTTGCCTCGAAACCGCGCGACAACCGGGCAAACAGGCGTCAAACACTGCTGAATATGTTGGGCAGAACTCTAGGGAAATAACTTGTTGTTGGTCTTGCCCTACAAGACCTTTGTGAAGATCATGATCATCGCCTGCCTGATGCTTGGCAAACTATGTGAGAACGAGAATGCTGGCAGTTGGCATGTCTTTTCCTTGCGCCAGCTTGAGCCATCCAGTCTTGACACTCGTGTAAAGATCTTCGTTGGCTGCGACGTGCGCATGAGTGCACTATTCCTCAGCTTGCGAAAAAGTACTGATGGCAGTGTTCAAATTTCCTTGCCATTTGACGCGTTTTGTGCTTCAGTGATGAGTTCTGCTTCTGAGCCTAACCTTGCGTGCGTCAGATGTAGGTTTTTCTGGGCATAGCGGTGGCAATCCGGCTTGAGAGCTGTGCTATTTGCGTCTCTGTAACTTGCTGTGGCAGATTCTGCGGAACCATGCCACGGTTCCAGTACAAGCAGGTTCAAATCTGGGCGCCCTTGACCTTCTCAAGCTCATGGCCTGTGACCGGAGTCAGCTAATCCTCTCAAGATCAGCGATGCGATTGATCTTTCCACTCCTTGAGTTTGGCGACGAGCCTTCCTTATTCTGCTGCCTTCCGGCATTTGATCAGCTGGGTGAACAGCGCGAGCCACGCTCAACTTGTTGTTGTGGAGGACAATGGTCAACTACTTCAAGAACACCCTGAAAAACCACCAACGTGTATCTTTGCCGAATCTCCGCAATCGCAGTGACACACCGAGCTTATGTCCAAATTCTTTCCTGAGCCATGAATGGATTTCAACCGTCATGTGGTGGTGGGTAGTGGTGGTGGGTAGTGGTAGTGGTGTTTGGGGTTGTGTCTTTCTTGTTGCGCTTGTTGCGCTTGCTGTTTTTTTCTTTTGTTGCTGGTGGTTCGACATGCAATTGTGTTCACGGGTGCAAAGAAAAAACGTGGGCAGTTTATCTCTGGCCTCCACCAAGTCAGGCACAAGACCGAAGATCTTCTCTGCGATTCCAGCACGACCTCCTCAAAATCTTCGTACGCAGATCTCCATCTCTCTCTCTCGCTCAGTGCTGATATGTGTTAACACAACCAGTCAACCCTGTAGTCTGCACAGCTGCTATTTCGCATGGGCTCATGTCGTGATAAGCTCAAGGCCTGCAGACGTGTACAAGCTATGTAGTACCACACCACATGTGCATTGACACAGCCCCTCAGCTGCAATGGTCTTGTAGCACCTTACAACTGTAGCAAAAGCTTGACAGTTGTGATGTTGACAGGGCATCGCGACGATCTTCGATCGTCCGCAGCCTTCGGGAGTCGAGTCATACGTCCTCCGAGAATCTATCGACGCAGCCCCGAAACCCGTGGCAGCAATTGCGATGAATCACCTCACTACACTGCTGTTGAGCCAGAATGCTATCAACTAACACTGGCAACACATGCTACATCCTTGGTGTTTTTGCATTTCCATCTTAGCAACACTTCTTATTCTCCTGAATCCACTCCAGGACCTTGTCTGCCAGTTCTACTAGCCTGGGTTTTTCAATAGTACGTGCATTGGCCGAGCCAAGCTATGGATGTGAAGCAATCACCCTGAGACTCAGACCCAGCTTAGCTGAGTGCTCAAATTAATTCCTTATTGCCACTCACAAGGCCTCGGCCCATGTTTTCACGGATTGAGTCCACTCAACATGGCTCTGCAAGTCATCCATCTTCTGCCCTATCAACCAGGCTCACTGTGCTGACATCTGCGCGACTTTTTTCCAGGCTCAACACTGCAGCTGCAGTGGACCATATCTGCCATGGCTTCATAGGACAGTTTGCAAGGTGGTAACTTGAGGCAGCACAGAATTCGCTGCTCCAGGCCCGGAATGTTGAACAGCAGGTAGCTCACAAGGAACATAACTGCGGTCACATCCTGGACAAGGTTGCATTGATGGACAAAGTCTCGAGATTCATCCCCCCAGAAGCTGTCCTGTTAGCCTGCGTGTGGCGCAGCATGAAAAATGACGAACGCGGCGTGCCACACCAGACCAACGCCTTCCGACGAGTAGAGCACAACGCATCAAAGGCCAGCCTTATGCCACTGGCTGTGGTCACATCATGCGTCAGTGAGTAGACCCTGTCAAGCGCCATGCCCTTCTGGTCAGCTCTGAGGAACTCCTCGGTCAGGTTTCCATTTAGAGTATCTTTGCCATCAGCCCTGTGCTTTTCACAGCGCAAGGCTATCGCCAAAATCATGTCCCCAACACTCCAGCCCTTCATCATTGGAAATGCAGCTGCCGTAATGGGCGGCCATCTTGCAGCTGCCAAACCATTATTATCTGCAGCATCCAAGCGCAGGAACTCCTTGATCTCCAACATCAGAGATGCGCGCCAAGCAGCGCTGCCCCAATTGAATGCGCCATTGTGTCATCCACTGGCAGACCCCAGCTTGGATCGAATGTCCCTGGTCCAATCTTGAAGGCCACCTTGTAAAACTGCTTCATGATTCGCCGTCTCGATTCATTGGCCTGCGCCACTGCAAGTGGCTGAGTTTGGCGCCGTGCCTGACTGGCGCCTGTCGAACATGTTGTCCATGTCCGGATTGTTGGGTCCTCCCCATTCTTGGGACCACCATGACTATGCTACCTCACACACTAGCAAGCTGCGGTGCGTTGACTGCTTTCACAAGGCATGTCTGCTCTCAACATCAGAACGCACAAGACACAACAGGTTACCCGCTAGTACACACAATGACCAACTAACTCATCATGTATCATCATAAATCATTGCAGGCATATGAACAACCAATCTGCAGAAAGCGCAAAGGCCAACAGCCACTGAGCTTCAAGAAAGGCAGCTACTATGCGCAATGAAGCAGCTAATGAAGCATTGGCATCAAGTTCCTGCATCCACTGCCCAAGCACTTCCCCTGACACTCCACTGGCATAGCTCACTGAGGTGCAACTGTTCACACAATGTGCTGGACTGATGCAAGAATCTGCTCTCAAAAAGCAGAACTGGTGTATAGAGTGCAGGGACTTTTCGTGCTGGGACTGCAAACATATCATGTTCATGTGCAGAAATTCGAAGTTGCACTCGAAAAGCACAGCTTGTGTATAAAGTACAGAGACTGTTCCTGCTGGGAAGGCAAAAATATCATGCTCCAGTGGAGCGGCTCGTTTGTCAAACGGGTCGCTCTGGTGTGCCACAACACAGTGGATCCTGCCCCAGACAAAACTTGGGCTTGTAAGCCGATGCCAGCACGCCCAGCCATACATTCAAATACTCATCGCTGAAGACCCGCAAACCGTCAAAAGGCCAACGTGCAAGGTTCTCCTGCTCAGCTTGTGACAATTTGAACCACACGGTCCACAAGTATGCAACTTGTCGACCGCCCTGCGTTCTGTTTCCAACAGAGCGCATATACGATCCGTCTCCCCGATTTTTAAACCTGGGGCACTTCTGCCAATGTCACCCTGTGAATCAGTGGAGGCTACAGCTTGCTCAGGTTCATCAGATTCGGCGCCTGAGTTGGGCACATCAGTGGCATCATCATGCCCGGTGACTGGGGCGCCATGCCTGACTGCACCTCTTCCCCTGCGCAAGCACACTGCACTATAACACACTGCGCAGCAATGTTGGATTGAACCCAACAGCAGTCCCGAGTGAATGAATCAATGAAACTGACCATGCAATGTCGTCAAATGCGAAATGTCACGCATGCAATGTCATCGTTTAATACCTGAATTGCCACCACAGGTGATGCCATTGGCGATGCCGGTTTCAGAGCCTCGTCCATCAGATTCAGATTGCGAGTTGGAGCCTAGTCACGGCCCTGTCCTGATTTTGATGATGAGTGCACTTTTGGTGCAGAGATGCACTGTGCCAACACACAGCGAAGCACACCCAACCCAGCCAGACATGACGTCGTCTTCAAGTCAGCCAGGCATGGCGTCTTCTCAGCCAGACATGGTGTCTTCTCAGCCAGACATGGTGTTGCAGGAGAAGCAGAGTCATTCCAACATGCCATCATTGGCTGAAGTGCTTGCTGATCATTTTATGCAGCCGCACGATGGAAGAGGCTTGAGAATTAAGTCAATTGATGGTGATTGGTTTATTCGCATGCCCCACTATGTTGCAACTGTACATCCTGCAGGCACACTGCAAATGTTTTCAAGCCGGAGTGTTACAGTGATCATGGCTGCGAGGGGCAGAGAACTCATGTGCTTCAAGTGCCCTTGAAAGTTCCAGCTCAATTGCTCCGTCACATGTGCATATGGAAAGCGATGCGCTTGTCCCTGTCACAAGCTCCTGCGAGAATATGGCAGACATATGGCACCCCGATTAGTTGACTGTGACCTAGCTGCGAGCGCTGAAGACTCTGCCTGCAGTTGAAAAGATGTTTCTGAGCGGACTTTTATCGAATAAAACAAGCCAGAAGTTGTATTGCAGCATGCAAGTCAACATTCATGCGAACCTACTAATGCTTCGGATGGTGGGACTACAGTGATGATGACAGCCCTGAGTCTTTCCCATATTTGCCAGAACTCTTTTGGCTACGAGATGAGAACTTAGCGCAAATTGAATTGCAAGCGCTGAGATAGCCATCAGCATCAGTGTCGTGCAATCCAGTTAAACTGCGACACCAGACCCAGAGCAAACGTGCTCTGGGTCTGGTGTCACATCCGTGCTCGTGCGTGCTACCAGTGAGCCCTGCAACATTGCGCGCGTCGAAACTCTTCGCCTCTCAATGCTGTTGTCAGACACATCCGTGCTCTGCAGCCTGCAATCCTTAGCGCCGTCACGACACAAGCACAGACATGACTGCAACATCCGTCCAGACTCTGCGCCTGGATGTCGCTGTGACATTCCTGATTATCAGCCTGCAAGCCAGTTAGTGCCGTGGCGAGCACGGATGTGACTGCAACATTCCGCGCGCAGACTCATCGCTGGATGCTGCGTCACATCCTGCTGTCACGAGCGCGGACATGACTGCATAACACCCAGGACCAGACTCTGCTCCCGTGCTCTGCGTGCTATTCGACTGCTTCCTGCGCGGGATGGTGCTGTCACATCCCGGAATAGGTGCTCTGCGTCAATCAGCCTGCATTCCAGCAAATGCTGTCACAAGCACGGACTGACGTGATAATATCGGAGCAGACTTTGAATCATGCTATTCTATTTGGAGACGACGGCAAGCAACGGAAGCATTCACACATCCAATGGTCTCGCTTTCGTTGCTGGCTGGCTTTCCTTCTGCTTCTGGCGTGTGATGAAAGCAAGGCAAGCCCAGGTAACTTTACCCAGAAGATGTGCGTATGATATGCTTTTATGGGCATGACAGGCATGGCGCGCTGCGCGCTTAGACAGGAAACTTTGTAGCAGTTGCTGGCGCAGCGGTCCTGAACGTGGAAGTAGTTGCTTGGCATCTGGGGTCTGAAAGACGTGCGCAAGGTGCGCCACTCGATCGGACTGTATTAGATTAGAGCAGGCATGGCGCCGGCGCAGCTCGCTCCGAAGCATCCCCACTGACTTGTGCAATACATATATAACACACACACATATTGATTATGTACAATACATACATACATACATACATACATACATACATGCAGACATGCATGCACGCACGCACGCACGCATGCATGCATGCATGCATACATATGCATACATACATACATACATGCATACATGACACCGCATCACATTGCATCACATCGCGTCGCATCACATCGCACCACACTACACTACACTACATTGCACGCATACGTACAGACATGCGCACGTACACCACCACACTACACTACATCGGGTTACATGGCGTTACACTTAGAATTGATAGTGTCCTTACTGTGGAAACTCGAGTTTGTTGCCGCGCATGTAGATGTGTTCGCATATCTGTGACCAATTTCTGGCAAATAGTTGATCAACTTGACTCATGACTCATGCATGTTGCTTGCATGTTGTTTGGTGCCAAATTTTGGTAAACTTTGGCAACATCCGGCAAAATCTTGCAAAACTTGGCAAAAACTAGAAAAACTTAGCGAACCTGCATTTGACCCTAGACCCCCTAACTCCCGACCCCCACTTTGGATTGATGATCCAACGGTGCAGTAGTTGTCGAAGTGTTAAATGTGTCTTCCCAGATGTTGTGGTTTGCCAGGCTCGAGGTAGCCAACGCGCTTGAGTAGCACCGGACTGCTCGACGGTCTTCTTGTCGCCAAGCACCAACAAGTCGTCAACGTAGACCATGATGCAGGAGTCCCAAGCCGCATTGGTGTAGACATGTGGTTCGTTGTTGTTCGTGGGTCATGGTGCAGTGTCGTGGGTTGAAGTCGAGTCCATTTCCTAGTCTTGGCGCGCTGAGGCTAGAATACTTCGTATCACAAACGTAGTAGGGCCTGATTGTAGGGAACACACTTGACGCCATAGACAGGGATTGACAAATGCCCTCCTGCATAAAATATGCGGACAGAGCGCGGGACAAAGTGCCGGACAAAGTGCGGGACAAACTTCTGGACAAACAACTGTCCGGCAAGTTGTCCGGGGGGGGTTGTCCGGAAGGTTGTCCGGAGGGTTGTCCGCGCACTTTGCCGAGATTTATGCTGCAAACCCCCCCTCCCACGAGAATACTTCCCTCTGAGTGGTTTCCGAGTGGTTTTGAGCGGGTTCCGAGTGGTTTCCGAGTGGTTTCCGAGTGGTTTCCGAGTGGTTTTCGAGTGGTTTCCGAGTGGTTTCCGAGTGGTTTCCAAGTGGTTTTGGCGAGCTCCAAACCTGTCCGAAGGCTTGTCCGGGGGTTTGTAGGGTTGTCCGGGGGCTTTGTGTGGGGGTTTGTCCCGGGCTTTTGGGGCCTCAAAGCTGTTTGGAGGGTTGTCTGGGGGCCCCACCGATTTTGTGCCCTCAAAGCTGTCCGGAGGGTTGTCCGGGGTTTGTCCGGGGGGTTGTCCGGGCTTTTAAGCCCGTTTGGACCCAAAATATGAAAACAGGTGTTTATGCGGAACCGCCTCTGTCAAGACAGGGATCTTCTTGTTGGTCACGGCGCAGAGTTGTGGAACTGCTTCTTGGCAGAGATCCGGCACATAACCCTTTTGGCAAACATGTGTAGATGCCCTGAGTCAGTGATGTTGCTATTAATGTTCATTTGTTTCTGCTTTTGTGCTGCTGCTATGTCAAAGCGCAGTTGCGTTGAATCCTCTCGTAAATACTGTTGGAAGTTGTTGCTGCGGTCGTTCCATGATGTTGCGTGCGCTGCTCTTTTTCCAAGTAGTGATTTGTGTTTGTGCTTGCATGGTAGTGTCTTTGCTTGTCTGATGTGTCCAATTGTGGGGTGTGATGCGTTGATGCCTCCAATGTGGTTTGCTGCATCTTCACAGCTGTTGTCATTCCAATCCCAGCTTTGTCAATTGTAGTTTTTCAAATTCTCCTGTCCGTCCTTCTCTTCCTCTGCAATCCCAAGTCTCGGTCAGGTTGCTGTATCCTTTGTTGCCCTTGTCGAATCCTTTGTAGTAGCCTTTGCCTGTATTTGCCCTTTCTTCTCCTTCCTTTGTGGTGTCCTTTGCTTTTTCCTTTGCCTTTGTAGCTTCCTCCTTTTCTCCAAATGTTGTCAACGTCCAGTAATGCAGGTTCTTGAGAAGGCCGAATCGTCTTGTAGTAGTCCAGGATGACCGCTCTGATCTCGTTGTTGAATAGTATCAAATCTACACTCCATCCGGTAGTGCTGCGCCGCATTCTTTCTCGTAGCCGTTGGTGTCATATTCCCATTGTAGGAACTGTTCTTCGAACTGTTTGGTGAGGTAGCCAACGCTTCGTGTTTTTACTGGTATGCAAGAGTCGTAGTTTCACATCCTTTTGCGTTATAGCCTGCTGCTCCTTGACATGTGTTGAAGACGATGTAGTGTAGGTCTTTTGCGAGGTCTACTGTTTTTTGTTGCTTGTGTAGGGTCGCGTAGCCTCAACTTGTCGTGTAGCCACTTGTACTAGTTGCAGTCGGCCTCTGAGTATGTCGTTGTCTTGCTCCTGTGTTGCTCCTGTTGCCGTAGCCCGTCGTCTGTTTCTGCGGTATGCTGCACTGATGCTGATACTGCTTCTCCCGACATGACGTAGTAGTTTGGCACGCGATTCGCGTTGCAGCGGTTGTACTTACTGTTGTGTACTGGAGCTCCCCTACGTTTAGGATCTCAGCTTCGCTACGTCGATAAAATCGAACTGTGGTTTACTACAAGTATGTTGTTAACACAACCAGCCAAGCCTGTAGTCTGCCCAGCTCCTATTTTGCATGGGCTCATGTAGTGATAAGCTCAAGGCATGCGGCCATGTACAAGCTATGTAGTACCACACCACATGTACATTGACATCCGTCCAAAAATATTGGCCCAAGGAGAGGCAGTTAGGCGACACCATGCGCAACTTTTTTCGAACTCAAAAGTCTAGGGTCCACCCTAGGTTTTTTGCATTTTTTGAATAAGCGCCCCAAAACAGCCATTTTAAAACATATTTTGAAACAGTCTAAACACATTTTGATAAATTCTTTTTTTACAGCATACAAAAACAAAAAAAATATTTTAAAATTCAATACACCTAAACATTTTTAATTTCAAAAACACATATTTTCCAAAATATTTTTGAAAATATATTTTTCACAAGAGATAAATATATATAGCATTTTAAGAAGAATTGTTCAATAAGAAACAACATTTTCAACAATTCAATGAGGAGACTTAAAAATTAATCATTTTTCAACATTTGGATATTCAAAGGTTGCGCATGGTGCTCCTTGTCTGATTTTATCTTCAGTATATAAAACGCTTTACTTACAATATAATTATAACATATAAGTCATATGGGGGTAAAATGTTATAATCATAGTATGGTTATAATTCAAATTCAGGATAATAAGTTAATTGACGACTATTAAATTGTGTATGCATCTTACTTCTTCCATACATCATTTTAAAAATAATGCTACTATCTCTCACTGTATTTCTAACATTAAACTTTTCACTTTCAATATATGATAACCGGGCCCTCAGGCGCCTCAACCCGGGCCCACGCAGACTCGGCGGGGCGGGCAGGTGAGGGAAGACGGGGCGTCCACTCACTGCCAGCCCGCTTACTGGGAGGCGGAACGGGAGGCTGGCCCCTCTGCCGCTTGGGCGAGGGGGCTGCTGCCTGTGTTTCCACGGATGGCCATCATACACAGTTAAAATATCAAGATTTCATCTTCAACATTTGTTTTAAGAAGCCTTTTATGGTTCAAATGACATTTGGTTAATTCTTGATTATATTTCCAATTTCTACAAATTTTACATATATCTTCTTCATCCGTTGAACAGTTACTAATATTATTCACTATTCCATTAAGTAAGTTCAATTTGTATAATTCCATATTTTCTTTTTGAAGTGGCAACAGTTGTAGCATTTCTTATTGATATAGTTACTGATTTCGGTTTCCACCATTTCTATTATATTATATTAAGTTAATGTTTCCTTAAATACTTTTTACAAGAAAAAATATTGAAATATAATTATAACATAGAATATTTTACATGTTATTATTACAGTATGATTATAATTTCAGTTCAGGATAACTATTTAATTGATACATCTTACTTCTTTCATACATCATTCTAAACATAATATTAATATCTCTCACTGTATTTTTAACATTAAACTTTTCACTTTCAATATATGATTTAATGTCTTCTTTCAAATCAACGCCTGTCTTTCTACGATAAATCAACATCCATAATATGTGTGTAATCATTTCATACTTTTATTGCTAATTTTGAGAAACTGTTTAACATAATCGTAAGGTTGGATTTTGTAAACATTTGGGAATATCCAAATATTGTCTTCAACATTTCTATTATTTCTTCTCTTTATTCTCAACGCACACTTGATTATAGCTTGAGTATCTCTCCATTCCTGACAAGTTCTACATACATGTTCTTTTCTTCACCCAAATCATAATCAATAATATTATTTGCTATACCATGTTTATATCAGTATGTTTATACAATAACAATATTAGGTAAATTTAGTTTGTATAATT